TTCTGCGTTTTGTCTTGCGTGTCCGTTTTTTTTTTTTTAAATAGACATTATCTAGTTGCAGCAGGACATTTGTCGAGATAGTTCTCGGACGGAGTGGGACACAAGCCCCAGCAGCCATAGGTATGCGGTATTTTGCAAAGCGAGTCTTAAAATAAGACAGGAGGAACGCCGCGGTCACCTGCGTCGACTGGCTCTCTACATTCCAGTCGATGATGTACATATTTCTAACCCTTGCGCTGAGCCGGACTATTTGCCCAGCAACGGCTCTACGTTTTCGCAGAGTTGGGAGCTATTGAGTCTGCGAATCAGATCTGACCTTTTCGAGGAGCTTAAATTAGGTGATCTCTGAGAAATTTCAGTAGCTGTAGCCTGCAAAATATTACCTTGTTGTCTAATCATTGCTTATCACCTTTGGTGCCTCCTCTTACCGCGTTTCCGCTTAGGTTTTGTGTTAGAAGCCCTGTTCTGTAAACGCTCATTTTTAAAGTGGCACCATTTTTTAGTGTAATGTTTAAGGTCCGTTGGTCTGGAGGGACCGATTGCAAACCCCTCTCATAGAACTCCCTAGCCGGCTTAAGGCCAATCACTTTCAGCCCAACCTACTTGCCAGGGTTGTCATAGGGATAAAAGGATAAAATGAGGGGAGTTCACCATGAGCTCCTGGAGAAGTAGGAGATGAATGAATGGGCAAGTGACATAAGCTTTCCAAATCCAGAGAGCAGCCAAGCCCAGTTTAGCCAGGTTTTACATGCAGGATGGCCACTCTTCCAGAGTTGTCCCCAAAAGGCCTCAACCTGAAACCTTGCAGAACTGGAAACTAAATGGGACATTTCTAGAATGGCCTGGAAAGGGTCAGCAGATCCACCTCCTGGCTGTGAACCTGAAAGCCCAAATAATTTGTGCTGAAATGCTTTGGAAATTGGTGGGGAGGTGGCTTCTTGTGAGGGGCACGAAATGAAGAAATGCTGTACTTGCAATTCCTGTGGGAAAGCAAGAATCTATGCCTCAACCTATAATGGGTCTTTTAATCTTAGTAACACATCTGTCTTTAGGGCAGGGATGTGGTAACCTCCCAGGGCACAGAGGAATTAGCTTGTAATTTCTCCTCCCTTATAGTAGAGAGAGATAATAGGTGCCTTTTCCTTATGGTAGAGATAGATAAATGCAAACTAACTTAGTGACCCTTCCCTGGATATTATCTCTTTCTGATGCCAGACTTCCTAGCATTGTATACTGTCCCTTGTAGGCATATTGTCTCTTTGTGATAATGAGATGTCACCCGACAGTCATTCATCATAATAACCTAAGTTTGCACCGGTATGACACGCAAGGTCATAAAGAGGCTCCTAACCAATCACTGTCCTTCCTTTTGACTCTGTCTTCTTGAACTCAATGTATAAACACCCAATTTCTTTTGTGTTCGGGGTGCCTCTTTTGACAGAGATAGTCCCTTTCCTGCTGCGCAACATTAAAGAAAACTTCTAAAGGTTTCTCGTGTCCGGCGAAGTTATTGGCAATCGTCTCTGGGCAAGAACCCCATTTTGGGTCCAACACTTGTCATTACAGTACCCTAGCTATTCAGTGCAATACACTACATAGCTACTTCCTAATAGAAATGTATTAATGTCCTGGCCTGAATGTGATTCAGAAATCTTAGTCACTGGAAAAAATCATACGATCAAATGCATCTGCAGGATCCAGTGCACTGTCATGCTTCCCCCTCGATTGCACCATGGACGCCTCTGCACACAATAGGCTGACAAGGTTCGTTAATGCAGGTATAAAGTCTTAGCTCACCGTGCTAAGGATGAGAAGCAATTGCCCTGGGAGGACAAGCAGCCAGACCTTTGAATGGAGAGGCCTCTCTTTTAGGTTGCTTTGAGAAGCCCCTTTCTGTCACTGCTGGCTGGTCTAAGCCCCATGAAAAACCAGACCTGGGTGGGTCTTGGTCCTTTCCCCTCCCCATTTCCTCTGAAAACAAAGGACATTTTTCTATTGTGTGAACTGCCCTGAAAGGTTTTCAGGTTGAAAAATGAGATAGAAATCTTCACATAAACTAGGATTGTGCATCCTTTGTCATATCAAGAGCCACACTTTGCTGGGGGCCTGCCTTAAAAATCAGGCAAGGCTGGGGAAAAAAGATGGGTAGAGCCAGTTAGGTGAAGAGGTTAAGGTGTTGAGCCAAGACCTGGGAGACCTGGATTCAAGCCAATGGTGTGCTGGAGCTGGCTTGTACCAGCTTGCAAGAATCAATGGTTAAATTTTCAAGAATGTTGAGGGCACAGCTGAGCTGTGATGCCTAGCACGTTGATCAGCTATTTAGCACACTACTGATTCAAGTCCACCTTCACCCATGGATACTCACTGTGTGACTTTGGCCAGCCACTACTCTCAGCCCAACCTACTCTACAGGTGAAAATAGAAAGGAAGGAGTACTGCATATGCCAGCTTCAGCTCCTGGAGGAAAGTTGGGATATACATCTAACAATTAAAATATGATTAAAACTTGATTTGATTTTTGGTACTAAAATGATTGCCTGTCACGTTAAAGATTACAATTCTGTAACAATTTTTGAAAGGATTCTGGGGTCTTGTTTTCAAGGTTTTCAGGGGCTGAATGTAGCCTTGAGGCCTCAGATTGTGCACTGTTGCTTGAAATAATGTAGTAGTAGTAGTAGTAGTAGTAGCAGCAGCAGTAATAATAATAATAATAATAATAATAATAATTTAAAATTGGGAGAATGAAAAATTCAGAACACTCCTGTTAAATTTTCAATGTAATAATTTTATTGGTAAGATACCAGTAATTATCACCTTCACTTTTTTTTTTTTTAAATAACCACAAACATACAGGACGTCATAAACAGAGGCACCAAGAGGGCAGGGTTTCTATTAGTTGTCGAGTGAGATACACTGAAGAGGATAAAATGAGTGGAGCTGAGAATTCACTGGACATTTGGGGGATCCTGTATGGAACAAGCCACTCTTTCATTGCCACATATGTGTTTATGCGTGTATATAGAGTTCTATATTATACATCTTTATATATAATATATATACTATACACGGGCAGTAATGCAGTAGATTAGGATAGACTCCTGAGTCAATGATTTTGGGAAAAAGAGATTGTCAGAACTGTATGTATTGCATGATGCAAAATGAACTGACCTGTGATTTCTTACTCTCTTCCTGCTTAATTTCGTGAGACCATCAAATAGTCTTTCCTTGCATCTGAAATCATGCTTGGTAATATACAGAGATCTAGCAGCATCAAATACTAAGGGCCACTGTCCATTATTACTGAAACAACTAGGGAGAAATAGAGAGGGTAGGGAAACGTTAATTTGAGTTCAATAGTTAAGAAGAAGAATTGGAATAGATATCCATTCTTCCTTAGTTGTGCATCAAAATGGCATTGGTCTTCAGATAAGATATGTATGCAAGTACTTCCCTCATTCGTTGGGCACAAAGAAAATTACAAGCCAACCTTTATGACCCATTAGCTTACATACAGCTCTATAGCAATATAAGGCAACTCACCAAAGGCTCAGTAAACATCCTACATTGTTTCCTAGTAGATCTCCTTCACCTGAATGATGGATTATATTTACCTTGGTAGCTTTCAGCCCCACCAGGTAGACCAGACCAGGAAATCAACTCCACAAGGATAGAACTACTTTTATTGAGGTTGGCTATAATAACAGAATCTTGCAAGTCTGATTGTGCAAGATTGGGTAGTCCCCAATTTAAGAATGAGTTCTGTTCTGTTCCCAAGGACTGTCCTTAAGTCAAATTTGTATGTAGGCTGGAACAGTATTTTTGTATAATACTGTATAAGTAGTATTGTGTAATTAACTCGAATCATTGTGTATTTAACTCAAATTTTGCTACAATAGGCTCCATTCTTAACTATGGGTTGTCCGTAAACTGGCCGTTCTTAACCTAGGGACTACCTGTACCCCTTCTTATACTCCTGTGAATTGGGGAGGTTTCTGTCTGAACCTCTTCCAAATACTATTTGCTATGACTTATGGTATGATTCACCCCTTATTGCTTTGGTAATGGAGCTTGCAAATCTGCATCAAGGTCATCTTCCTTACTCTCTGCAGTGGCTCAGAAATTGTACAGATATAAACAAATATATCATTAAACAAGGAGATGCATACATGCTAATCAATCTAATTATCAATATTTATGTGGTTTATGTTCCCTCTGTCTGAACAATTAACAAATTGTGGGGGTCACAACTGACACTTCAGAAATATTATGTGATATTTTAAGCCGATATTATATTTCCAAGCTGTTTCACATTAGGCCAAGCAGCCAAATTACATCAGAATTGCCCCACAAGGAACACATTAGTGTAAAGGGCATATGTATGGTTCTAAAGAGGCATAGCCATCTGCCAGGAAGCTGTTTAGTGACAATTCATTGAGCATGTCCTCTATGCGTAAGTGTTATTCATCCATTCCTCATACTTTATGTGGAAACTGAGCTAAACACTGAGGTAATTCAGTTGCTTTATAATTCAGTATGAAATGGCTATAATCTTGTCAGAAATGAATGCAAAGATTTCAGTGATGTATCACAGAGCAACCATCATAATGTTGAGTTCATCATAAAGGTGAGCTCGTCCTGGGAGAGGGAAGTATATGTTGTTATGCCCTCATTGTGTGAATTGTTCTTGTTATTGGGGTTTTGCCAAGGGGGGGGGGATTATTTATTTTATGGTTGTACACTGCCTGGAGTCATATTTTTGTGAGTTTGGACAGACATATAAATCTTTAAATAAATAAATAATGTGGCTTCTGAATAGCCAAAATGTCCCCCTTAATGCTGGACTTGCTACAGAAAGCCCCTGTATAATTCAAAGGCTTGTATTATGTAGTAGCCAGTGTTACTATTTGGGCATGTTCAATTAAAAAAAACCCCACTAACGGAGATCAGCCAGATTGACACTTGATGCTCTTTGGATGAAACAGAAAATGTTTCAAAAGAGAACAGAGAAAGAATAATCACAGAACATTTTGTAAGAAGCAAGATTTAAGACAGACATTGGCCATGCCCAGAACTAAGAGCAGAGTATTTATTTTGAAGTGAAAGATCCAATACCCTTAACTGCAATCCTGCTTTTATTTGATCTAACTTTTTATACCACTCCATGAGCTTACATTTCCACTACAATCAGGCGTGTCCCTTCTCTAGACTTTGTGATAGGTAACTGGGGTAAGTATCTTGTTTGGACTTAAAATTCTATCCATGTGGAAAGGAAAATCAACATGAAACAATGGCCATTACTACAACAATTCAGAGTTCAGTTTGTAAATAGAGAGTTTAACACAGTTTGGCCTACCCCACAAGCCAAAACCCAGTTGTCATTTCTGCTAAGTGAACTTGACATGAATGCATGGAAGTGACATTCACAAAACTTTGCAATATTGTACCACAGGATTTTCTACCCTCCCATCCAATTCTATAATCCTGTTTCCTGCCAGGAAAGAAGTGAAAAGGAAGGAACGTCCCTGGCCTGATTTAAAAAGAAACTCCCCTCTCACTCCCATATGCCTAAATATTAGGTTACTCCAATAACAGAAGCTCTGGGGGAGAATGTTTTCCCCTCTCTCAAGCCTTACTCAATATTGCTTTCACCTGGAACCATAAACAGACCAAGTTCCTCTTTGTGCTTTATATGCTACAGATGATCACATCCTCTTCATGCTACCTACCAGCCACACACACTTCACAGTGGATTTCCAGAGAAAAATAGACAATAGAAAACATACTAAAGCTATTCCACATACAAAAACCATCATACAAACCACACACCAGGGAAGACCAAACAGCACAAGCGCGTGTTTCTTTCCATTTCATTGCTGTCTGCTTTCAAAGCCTGAACTACTGATAGGGAGATAAAAGGTTTTCCTCTTTGTGTAAAAATGATGTCTTTTTATACTGCCTTGGTTCTAGTAAAAGGAGAGAAGGTCAAAAGCAGCAACATCTACTGGGGGAAGAGGTCAAAATCTGTTTGAACAATTAAAATCTGGGGGGTCACAGGCAGGTACAACGTTGGGATCCAAGTCCTACACTTTTGTATGTCCACCAACTTTGCACATGCATAAAAATTGCAATGCTGTGTCTGCCATCTTGCAGATTTTGACATGCCCCCTCATGGATGCCCATGGTCAAAAGACATTTCAGATGCTGCATTGCCTTAATACCATTTTAAATCTGTCCAGAGCAGCAGGTGGCAAGTGGCCCTGCTGATGTACTGCTGTGATATCAGGAAGGTTATCTGTAGATGTATCAAAATAAGGGCAATGTGGGAGCATAATCTGAACTGCAGATCCTATCATTCAGTCGTCATGACAAAGATCCATTTTCGGCTCCCTGACGTACGATTAAGAAAATATGACTTTGGAAATTAGCTAAGTATTGAGATTGAATACTGCATCTTCACTTTTGAGTTAGTGTTTTATATTGCTTAACAACAGGCTTATTCCACTAAATGTTCTGATCTCTGTAAACTTTAGGTAGCCTCTTAAATGAAAATAATTATATGGTTTCCTTTAAGAAAAATGGCCAGTAAAGGCTTGCTGAATGAAGAGATGGTTAAGGAGGGATGGGCACATAACTATACTAACAACTTGCAAGTCAAGAAGTTTTAGACTTACTTTGGGCAATTGTGTGATGATACAACTAGAAGTAGATGATCCTTCTTACAAATGTGATTGGTATACAACTTAATTGTGTTTTCCTAGCTCAGTTCCACTGTAGACAAGCTTGACAGAAGAGTTCTGTTTTGTTACACTCCATACAAAATGTTAATATTTTCTTATAGGACATTACCATTTAATACAATGAATGTGGTTTACAGACAAGGTTTGCTCTTAGCACTTCTCTTTAGAAATTCATGAGTAAATATTTGTTGAACTTACAATCTTCTAGACACACATTCTCAGGAGCAAGTCCCATTGAACTGGATGAAGTTTACCTCTGAATAATCCTTTGTCTGATCAGACTATTTGAGTATCACTTGTTCCTAGAGCACTGTTTTGTTTATTCCTTCTCTCTGGGTATCTTAATTTCTTGAATCATGAATATATGAATAGTATACATATATTATGTATCCATCACGCTATTCCCTTTTGGTTAATCAACATAATGAACAGTGCAGTAAAGGAGCAAGAAATAGTAAGCTGAAGAATGTTAAGGCATGAGATAAGGGGGAAAAAAATTATCTCCTATTGAGAATTTGAGTTTCATCCAACATGACTTTCTTGGTCTTCCCCTTCCTCTCAACCCACTCGTGTATTTAGTCTGCAAATCAATCTTCTTTCATTCTCTTTATGTGACCAAACCATTTTGATATATTTCTTTTGTACTGGTCACTCACTTTTGTATTAAATCCACATTCATTCTCTACCTATTCTTTCTTGACCCTACTTTACCTCACACATTTCTTAAATAATTCATTCCTATTGCATTGAACTTACTTTTATGTTTCTCCTGACATCCTCAACTCTCTGTTCCATATAACATGGTGGGCAGAAGTATCCTTTTATTCATAGCTATTTTTGCTTATTTTTATTTCCATTCTTTGTAAGAGTTCCCCTAGTCACTATCATTTTATCAGCACTGGCATTTCTCCATCAATTGGAAAACAACTTTATTAAAAAAAAAAAAAAAAGCTGGAAAAGAGGATTGTCACAGATACAGATAATTTGAGGGAGAAGAGATTTCATGGCCGTTATCCTGGATTTAGAATGCTACATCATTCCTTGACAATTCATAATCTGTACACTTGTCTTCATAAAGCATTTTTGGAGAAAAAAATAATTGAATGAAATGACCAGCCATTGTATAATTTGTTTAAATTTTGTGGATTGTAACTGGGCCTTTTCTCACATGTTGTTTTGCAGACTAAACAAAGTCAGTTCATCAGATTTGGTTTAGCCTACTGTAGAATGAACAGATGTGATTCTATTGTAAAGAACTGCCTCATATTTGGAAACAAATATAATCAATCTGTGTCTCATTCTTCAGCCTCTATTTAACTTTTGCTTGCATTTTGAACTTGAACAGAGAATCATGTAATAATTCTCAATTCTCCAAAAAGCCAACCACAAGTGATTAAAAATTGGAACAGTTTGTGAAGGAAAACACATATTATGAATCTGCAGCAGATAAAATGAAAACAAAAGATAATAGAGTGGACAAAACAAAACATTTCAATATTTCATGAAAATCAAGGAGGCCAGGATATTCTTTTAAAGCTCAGTATTATCAAACCCAGTCTGGCTTATTGTAGATTCTACACCCAACAATTTATTATTCCATTCTCACCTACCTGAGATCCCTTTCTGCTTGCCATTTCTATATACTTCCTTGCTGCCATGTACATTGTTCACCTTTGCTTGCCCACTTTCACTACTCATTCATAGGATGGTCTACTCATTTGCCCAGTTCTTATTCTCATTTCTCAGCACTTACATTTATGCACTGGCATCTTAACTAGCATTCACCCACATATCCAGGGCTTGTGCCTTCCACCAACACCATCCTGAGGTTCTTCCCTCCTCCCCTCTGAAATAAAGCTTGAGCTTCCCAGACAAAGAATCTATCACTGCAATGCAAACAATAAAATGTTTTGCAATGAACAATTTAGTTTTGATGGAGAATTCAGGAGGAGGAGGCATTAGGTTTTCCGTAAAGAAGAAATTAAAAAAAGAGAACCTAGAAGGCCAGAAACTGGCCAAGAGTCACCTGTTGCTCTGGTCTGCTTTGCACGCTGACTTCTTGGTGGCAGAAGAGAGTGGGCAGAGGGAAGGGGAAATGGGAGGTTTCCAACAGCTCTCAGTAGTCTTGTGTTTGGTACCCCTGTGTCTCAGCATCAAAAACATCTGCAGAAGGGGGCTGCTGGTATGTCCCCATGCTATCTGTGGTATCCTCATTTGTGTAGGGTGCATAAGGCATGCCGGCCTCCTGGCTTGGATCTGTGTAGTCCTGGGAGAAGAGTGCTGAATCGGCTCCAAGTTGGTATCGCTGGAATGCCAGAAAAGACTGGCCCACCTTTAAGGGAAGATGTGGCAGCATGGGAGAGATTTTGGAAAATGGGATGGAAATAGACATGGGAAGGAAAAAGAGAGAGAGAGATAGAAAACATACCAGGAAGAAACAAATAGAAGCTGTGTTAGTAATGGTTAGTGCACAAGACATAAATTAGGGCATGAGACGTATTGGAATTAACAGGTTGAATGCAAATACATTCCAAAGACAAGAAGATCTGGCACAGCTCACCAAGACAGCAAGCTCAAGAAAGAAGCTGTGGAGTAAGCAAGGGAAGAATAAACTTTCAGGAGAAATCCTATGGCTTATTTATTTTGATAAACGTCTGGCAGAAATAAAGCTACAGTAGAAGGCATGGTTCTGGAATGCTTTTTTTTTTGGCATATCCCAACCCAACAAGCCCAGGCCAAGTATGTTGAAGGCATTAGTCAGAGTCTCTTTCATAATTCAGTCTCATGGCTGGGAGAGGTAACTGAAGAATCACACCAGGTTGTGCAGCCGAGCTTTTCAATGCTGGCTGGGGTGGAGGTGGAATCTGAGACAACATTGACTTTCCAGAGACCTCTCATACTCATGCAACTCCACCTCCAGTAGTTCTGGGGAGCTATGGAAGCTGACAGGTAGGAATAAAGGCAGACTACATTTTCAAGACTAATCAAAGTAGTGGTTATAAGAGGCCCAGCCCCATCATAAATCTCTTATTTGTGAAATGTTCTTTAGTGTAACAATGCTGAAGAAAGAGTGTGGAAAGCTGTGGCAGTTTCTAAACTGCCTTCTGATACCATCAACATGTAGGCTGGGCAAGGGAAGAGCAAGCTGTGGCAAAATGAGGGCGAGCAGGAGTAGAAAATACATTTTGACTATGACATAAAGTTGTAACAAAGTCAACAAAAAGGCACAATGGTGTTATCTAACACTGAGGGTGGAGAAAGAAGCAGAAGAAAAGAAACTGAATAGGACATATTCTACTTTCAGCTATTTGAAGCTTAAAAAGAAGACAACCTCAAAGTTGTCCTTAAAAACCCAATGTTTCTTGAATTTTCCTTCTCCCCAAAAACATCCTATGTTTTATTTGCTGGATCTGCCTTCTTATATCCTCTTTTCTTCCTTCCTTGCCCCTTAAGCATCAGAAATATTTGTTCTAAACATTTTCTCCCTGATATGCCCAGTTTTTATGCACCCAAGGTTAAGGGACAACAGGTGGAGAATTAGGAAACAGTGTGTTGTATTCTTCCTGAAAAGTAATTTCTCCAAGTCTGCGAAAGGCCAGAAAAGTCAGGAAGCTCTGTAGGGAAAGAACAGGATGGAACAAAGGGCATTAGAGAAGAGACATGGTGTGAATTCAAGGCCTTATTGAAATTAAGGATAACATGGGAAAAACGGGGAAGAATGTCTAACTTCCATTTGGCAGAAGAGAAGTTTAGGGTATTAATATTTGTAATAAAGGACTTCACCTGACAGCAAATTCCCCCATCAGATAGGAGATGTTTTTTCTACTTGGACCAAAAAAGGACCCAATCCTTCCCAAGATTAAAAGCTGTCAATAAAAAAAAGTAATAAGCAGCATTTAAGACTGGGAGGGGCAACCTGCAGCCCTCCAGGACAGCATCCCCAGATAACGCCATTGAGATTTGCCGACAAAATGGCCAGATTTAAGTGGCACCATTTCACGATGGCTGGGGAGGTTAGTGAGCAGGAAAGGAGCAGTATGCTTCTCCAAGCTTTCCATTCCCAGCCTAATCCCCATAAAAAATTGAAGGAAATTAACCTGTACCTTCTATTATATCACAGTGTTACTGTGCAGCCTCCAGCAGCCCTCCAAAAGGGTGAGAAGAAAAGCTGCAGCCCCTATTTTGAGAGGGGCAATTTAACATTTAAACAGAGCAGCTGGAAGGAGATAAATTATATCAAGAGCCAAGGGGAAAAGGAAAGGATTTCCTAAAAAGTTGAATAACTCCTGAAGTTTTATTTCTGACTAAAATATAAATCAACTGTAGCAACAAATACAGGAACTATTGTTTAGATAAAACCATACCCTGTACTAATCTGGGTTTGTCTCTCAGCCTTTCATTTCTTGTTTTTCTTTTGGAGTCCTCTTCCAAACGGGCATTTAAAATTTGCTTATATTTAAATATAGACACACCTAAGCAGTAGAGGATTCCCTTCTTCTCTATGAAAAGCAATAACCTTGCATGGTAATAGCTCTATTGAAGCTCTTCCCAATTCTGACCATGTGACGGCATGTAAGGCAAAGGAAAATAGCCATGTGATATTATATATCTAAAACATAATTTTGGTCTGTGGGTAATAGGTCTCAGTTTTAAACCATCCTGCACTTTCTTTTGTTCTTTCCTATTGTCAGAGGTAGGATACTCATTTTTGTAATCCATCAGTCACACAGTGGGTAATTTTAAATTTTAAGATATTAAATGAATATTTATAGATGTACAAAATATGATATATTCTCATTCACACAGTAGAAATGGCAACTCTAGTTTGTTTTAGTTGTTATATCTAACTATTCCAGCAACAATTTTATTTATCAAAAATTTTTACATTGCTTCTCATATTTATAGAGATAAAATGTAGTGCTAACTAGACTAGTCAGCTACTGTATCATCAAATCTGGTAATTTTCTTTTTTAAAAGATGCCAGTGTCAAATGAAATAAGCAGTCATTTTAGTAGTTTTGTTAAGAAGCCAATGAAAACCTTTAAAATGTTTTGAAAATGGCAATTAAAAGAAAACCATGAAGGGAAGTGAAATCCAGCTTATCTGGGGAGCACAAGGTTGGAGAAGACTGTTGTAGAACCATTTTGCATTACAAAACTTACTTTGAAAAACAAGTTAGTCTAGATGCCTCAAAGATCTCTTCTAGTTCTGTGAGATACAGAGCTGTAAAAGTCAACTGAGTTGGAGAAAGATGTTGCAATATTATCTCCATTAGGGATGTTATGGTTGGAAGAAGACACAGAAAACAGATATGCAAGTTACAAAATTTTTGGCCAAGTAACTTCTTTTTTCTCTAGTCAAGCCACTGATTATTCAGATCATATAAGGAGATCTTCTAAGGCTACAGATTGCAACAGAGGAGCTGCCCCTTATACAAATGGAAACTGGGGCAATAAGATGCTTATAAATCTCTCATTACTAGCCAGGGCCAAGACTACATAACTTACCCAGGTGAAGATGGAGAAAAAAGAGAAGGCGATGGCTGCTCGGGCTGCATCTGTTCCTTCATTCAGTGGACTGTCCTCTTTCTTCGAAGCACGCCATTGGTCAGCCAGGAAACAAAAACCGACAAACCAGAGAAATGCCCAAAAGCCTACAAGAGATCACCATCAAAACAAGAGGGAAAGGGAAGGATGGAAGAATACATTCCCATGAATTTTCTCACATTTGTTCAGAAAGCTCTCCCTATAACATCTCAAAGTGATTTGCAGATTGGGATAAATTCCAGTTCTGCAGAGACTATAGGATGGTATTGCAAGTTAAAATCCAAATATATTATTCCCAAGCCTCACATCTCCCAAATTTGGGGGATTGAAGGAATTTGAAGAAGATAATTAGTGGTTGAAAGGTCCTTTTCCCTCTCTGCTATCTATCCCTGATGAATATGGCATCAGTCATTTTTAGCCCTTTTCCTTTAGCCAGAATCTGCAATCAGATGCTGTGAAAATATACAACAAGGGATGGGATGTATCTTTTTCCATGGGTTATATTTAGATTCTGATTGTCTCTTTACTGAGTACTGGTGCTGCTAGAATCATGGAGGTCCTGGGAGGAAGTCTTCTTGTTGCTCTATACATATTCCTGAGTTCTACACACACACACAAACACACACCAATTTCCATATCCTGGTGTTCTTTCTCCTCTTTCATGCTTTGCAAGGCAGCAGCAATAGCATCTTATCTTTTTCTTTTTAACTTGTAATGAACTTGGATGTATTACAGAGGACTGTTCAGAAAAGAAGGAAGAAGGGAGAGGATACATACTCATTTACCCAGCAAACTAAGTTTGGAAGGAGAATTTGTTGGGTTTACATGCAGTTCTGCCTTAAGTAAGGAACATGTTGTGGAATGGTAAGGCTTAGTCATCAGGACTAAGCTCATTTCCATTATACAAATGGTATCTCCTAGCCTCACAAGGGTGGTGTCACTTGCTCATTTATTCTTGAATTGCAGCAACTCTGCAGAACTAAACTGTACAATGAAAGACAGGGTTTGGTTGAGAGTGAGGAGAGGTGGGGAGAGGGAGGGAGGGAGGGAATGCTGGATTGTTGAAGGTCTAAATAGCCTAAATAATCAAAAGGAATCCCTACAAATAGTTCTATATGGTAGGCAGTTCTCATTCTAAGATTTAAGAACTAAGATTTAAACTGGAATCTGACTGGCTTGTAACACAGCTTTTTAATTACTAGGTTTTGCTTTTAAGTAATCACGGCTAGGAGAATTGGAGTAATAACTCCAAAATGTACTTCCTTCCTTCCATTATTCTTTAAAGCACCTTAATGTTTATGTAGCATTTCCATGCCAGAAGGCCAGCTAGCTTCGCCATAGAATTTGCTAACATAGAAGAACCAAAGCAAAGCAAAACAAAACTAAAATGAGCAGGCATTGAGCAAATATCTCCCTGGCTGTTCTTGTCTATCCGGACATCATTAACAGCAAGAAAGCTGCATCTAGATGTTATACTTTAGTACATTTATCGTCAGATAATACCATCTTAAGGACGAATGGGTGGCTTCCTCTCAGGATGGCAACAGAAACAATCTGCACTATTGATGGAAGGGAACGGATGTCCCCTGGTCTAGTGATGCACTTTGTTTTCTCTGAAAACACAAGGCCATTTTTCTCAGATGTGCAAGGGTGCCAGCTTCCAGGGTTCTCAGCAAGACCAGTCTCCACATATCTGAAGAGATCTGGGCGGGGAAGGCTGCACAGGGTTATGTGATGCTGCATGAGATCATGCTTGAAAAATTTCAGAGAAGGCTTCCTTGAAAGAGGAATCAGTAAGGAATCACTTCTTAACTATAAAAATGGCATTTGAATCCCACAATTGTGAAAAACAATTATTGAATAACCCTGCCCACTGGACAACTGTTGTCTTGCCAGATTTGTTTGTTTATTGGATTTTGAGGCTGCCTGACTGCAAAAAATATTCCAGGTAGCTTTCAATATTTAAAAATACATAACTTAATGAAACATGATTGCCCTGACAAAACCTCATAAATAACACTCCAAAGATTGGATAGGGGCTCCACAAACACCCTAACCCCAGGCCTAGGAACAGAGCCAGGTCTTAAGAGACTTCCAGGGTGCTTGAACAGTTGGGGCTGTAGGTATCTCTGGAGGGATGCTGTTCCACCCCTCCTTGGTCCCGCAAGGTAACAATATTTAAGTGAGGGGGCCCACAGCGTACCCACTCTCCCCAAGCATACCGGACAGGCAGAAACAATTGGAGACAGTTACTAGTGATACTAGGGTTAAAAAGACAGCAGTAACAAATGATGGTGCTCGTAACAATGGCAAGGACAAATCAGTATCCCGGGGAAAAAGAAGTTTTTAAGAAATATGGGCTTAATTCAAGTGTAAAGGAGATCCATTGCAATCAGTGAGACTTCAATCAGTTGTGACTACATTAAGGTTTCTATATCAATTTGCACTGGAACCAGACCTGAGACAGCTGAATAGAACAAGTAATAATGAGACCAGTTAAAGGAAAGCTTAAGAAGAGGATGTTTTAAATATTTTTAATAGTTCAGAGCAGCAGTACTTCTGGGGTAGGCCTTGGATCGTGATTCTGTGTCCACCATCTTGCCTGTTTTGAAACCCACCCACCCATGGATGCTGCTGGTTCAAAGCTCCTGGCTGGTGCTCTGTAGAACATTCCCTCTATGGACAGAGAATGCTCCTAGGCTGATTACAGCCTGCATAAGCCAGCCCCAATTCCTTTTAATTTGGTCTTCAGTTTCATAAGAAGTAGAAACGATTTTGAGTCTTACTGGGTCCTTTAGAGCCAAAGTAAATGGCAGTGACATTTTGAAGATTTAGATTTGGCTTGTTTTAGGATTAATATTTATTTGGTAGAAAGTTAAGCAATAATTAGAAGGACTGACTAGCTGTAACATTATCATATCACAATATTATACATAAAGTTTCTGAAAGTTGGTGTTCCTTTCTCCATTATATCCAATAGCTCTCCCACTCAACAGGGTATTTTTAGGAATAATTTTCCTTTTTTTAAAAAATGGTGGTGGTGCCAGAAAATCTTTCTGGCTACTTTTATTTGTGCTTAAAGAAAGCCTCTGTAACCATGTGATTCCACCAAGTGAAGCTCTTCATTTTTCAGAGTCCTCATTTGCATGGAGATTCTCCACAGACAGAAGAAACTCTGCATGACAGTCATCCTCCATTACAGCAAAGGCAACATCTCCCATTTACAGTTCATTAATTTGGCAAGAAACTGCATTAATTTAAAAGCATTAAGAAGAAGGAAAATGGTAAAATTAAGAAATCAGATAAGTAAGAGAAAAGGTAATCAAGATGATGCAAGAGAACAAAAAAGATGTTTTTAATTTCAATAGGCAATCAGTTCATTTAATAAAGCAGAATCCAATGCAATACAATTCCATTGATGATTATTAAAAGGTTATTCCTACCATGCATACAGATATAAGACTGGATCCATATTCACCAACAGGCATACACACTTGTCCCTATAGAAACCCATGTACATTCACTAGAAACTTACCAGATATGCCAATGTCAGAAAGCACAGCTTTCTTGCGATCCTTGACACTGCTAATCTGTGGGAAGTAGACATCTAGGGCTAAGTAAAGAAGGCAGATGAGGAATGCAAGGACTCCTACGGTGATACCATAGCTGCAGGCATTCTGGTTACGATTGTAGATGCAGTACTGTTCTGGTGTCTCTGGATTGTTGACATAGCCTTCATTCACAATGCAGCCAAATACAACAATGGAAAAAAGCTGGATACAGAAAGGTGAGAAAAGAGTTAAGAGGGTTTATTATACAAATACAAAATTCACATGAGGAGAGATGATTATGGGCCATCAAGGTGGTGTTGACTCCTAGCAACCACATCAACAGACTTTCTCCATTCCAGGATAATGTGCCCCCAACCTGGCCCTTTGGGTCTTCCAACAGTATATCCATTCTTGCTGTAACTGTTGCTTCAGACAATATAACCATTTCTAATCCCATTCATATCAGTGAAAGAGAATTCAGTATGTAGCTAAAAGCTAAGTGTGCCTTCAGCATAGCTAGTTCCTCAGGTATCTTCATGCAATGTTTTAGAAACCTCCAAGATCTTTCTCTTTTTTGTTTTCAGTTTCAGCTAAATATTTGGCTGAAAGATATATCGGAAAGCAGCAGTGAGATCTCTAGATCTAGTCATTTATATCATCGCAACACATCCATCCAGTTAGGCTTTCATATATCTTTTTTTTATTCCTTATTTTTCTCAAATCAAGAAAAATATGTCAATAATATTCAGTAATAATATTCAATCATTAGCATGCTCCACTTTTCATTTACTCATTCAACTATACTTTTGTTTCATTCTCCATTCATCAAAATTTCTTCAGGCTTCTTTATCTTTTCCACTGTTCTTGCTAAATGTATTTATAATGACGACATGACATTTACGTAACACCTAGGTGTTCATAAAATAAGAACAAGCCCAAGGTAGAAATCTTCAAATCCATTCTTCAGAATGATTCAGGGAATTTCATCACCTACCATCTGCTGATTTCCCTATCCCCTTCTCTACTGCAGTAGTTTTTCATGCTTTAAACACAACTGTGTATATTAAAATGAATGTAAAATAATATGTAAACATATTGAAATAGCAAAATAAAGCCAGAGATCACCAGGAAGGGGGGAACATGTTTCTAAAATATAAGGAAACTCCATTCAAATCTCAGAACTTCCCTACTCAGCTGCAGAACTTAACCTCACACACAGACCTACTGAAGAGCACATCTGAAGGGCAGCACATTTTGAAAGCCTGCTCATTCTCCAAACATCCTACAGTTATTCATGTGGGCTGGAATTATATTCATCAATATTTCCCTTTTGAAAGTGAGCATATATTTCATAGCTTGGCTAAATTCTACATTGACAGTTTCCTTAATTTTTCTTCCCAAGTGGGAAGATGTTCAAAAGTGAATCAACATCCCCAAACCTATCTCTACTTCAATCAGATGTTTATTTATGTGTGTATTTATTGGTTTTTTAAAAAAATACATACTGCCCATTCTGATAGGTCAAGGGGGCTTCTAGGAATACATCAATAACATACAACATAGTTGTAGTTGCACTGGCAGTGCATTATGATGCTTCAGTTGATATATTATGCTTATATTTTACGAGGTTTTTAAAATGTATTTTGTGATTTGCTGTGAGCCACCCAGAGTTATGCATTCAAGTTGGGTGACCATATAATTTTTTCTAAGGAAATCAATTCTAAAAGCATTTAAAAATGTAAAACGGGTTTAAAAACAAAATGCAAAAAAAAAAATCTCTAAAACTGTAAAAAAGTATGTTTTAAACCCTCTCCTAAATTGTATACTGAGAGAACCAGCTTTAGCTCCTACTTCAATTACTTCCACTGTGTGTAACCTGTGATAGAAAAAGCAGAAATTCCTGTAGATATTAAACATATTTGTGCTGAGATCTGCAAAACGTGACCAATTAAGGACCTAAGATCGCAAGGCAAACTGTACAAGAACAGGTGGTCCTGCAGATAATCTGGCCTATGTCATGTAATGTTTTATACACTGTAGTGAGCCCCTTGAACAAGGATTCCCCCACAACTGGTGCATGGCAGTTTATAGAACTGTTTAGCATAACCAACAGTATTCCATCCATTTATAATTCCTTTATTGTTTTTATTTAAAATATTTTTAAAAGTAACCATTATTGTATAAAAAACGAAGACCTACTTTTTAAAGTGACAACAATATTTTTAAAAGATATTTAAAAGGCAAAAACACAACAGCAATAGGAATTAAGCTTAAAATAGTTCTTGAATGCACAGCAACTAAAGTTGCAAGCCTTCATCCACTTACTTGGGAATGAATTCTTTGAATTAATGGCACTTACTTGCCAATAAACAGGAATGCATACTGTATACTATGCTATACAGTAAAAGGTCTGAAAGAATAATAATGTGAAGAAGTATTTGCCTGGTGTTGGGAAAAAAGACTCCACTCCAGGCAAATCTCTCAGGGAGCAGAGTTCTAAAGTGGAGCATCTGTAGTTAAAAGACTGTCTCCTAACTTTTGAAAGGTCCAAAGACAGCCTCTGAAAAAAAGTAGTCAAGCAGACTAGTGTAAGAAAAAAGCTTAAAACCCTTAAGCATTAGAATCAGCAACCTGTATTGTCCTTGGAAATAGACCAGAAAACCAATGTAGTCATTTTAAAACTTAATCCCAGTGTATGTGGCGCTTTAAAAGCTCCACATTTTAAAATGCATCCATTATATATGTCTCCTTAACTATCCTTAGATGGATTAAACAAAAAGAGAGTATTGTGTTTCTTTACAGGCCATTAAAGCAGTGTTTTTCCACCTTGGCAACTTTAAGATGTGTAGACTCCAACTCCCAGAATTCCCCAGCCAGCCCTATTAGCTGCTGAAGAAAACAATCCCAGTTAAGGCTTGATTAGGAAGCTTCTGAAAAATTTCAAACCTAAGTACTTCTCAGCATGTGCCATGATTTAGGACCGTTTCTTAAGCTCCAGGACCTGACTACATTTCCATCTGCATAAATTCTATAGCACAAAGATGGAGATTGATAACAGAAAAATCGGAATTGTCAACTTTTGCAATGTTTCAGGTTATTTCTGTTTATATACACAGAGGGAGAGACAGCCAGACATATGGCCATAGCAAAGCATTTCCAAGAAGATGAAGAAAAAATTGGAGGCACAGAGACCTGATCTACATTGGATTAAACACTAAGAAACCTTTCCCAGAACTCCCTTGATGTACAAACCTTGACTAGATATTTTCTTCACAAGTCAGTCAGTAATCAAAGACTACCCTCATCTCCCTTGTCCCCAGTGTTGCAAAGTAAATTGAGCAGAGAGCTTACACAATAGATCTCTTGACTGCCATGTGATGCCTGCAGCATGATACCCATTTCCAGTGGTCTATTAAGCTCTTCTAAGTCTCATGTGATACACTGGCATCTCAGCTCCCAGATGCCTCTTGAACACCATTCTCCTTGACCGGCGTACTACTTATTTTTCTAAAACACTCACTGTGCTTTGACCTCCTTTTATTTCCAATCCTTTACTCATTATGAATCCTTCCCCTCACAGAAATGCTGCTAAAACACCTTTTGTTTATTTAGTCACATCATATTCCTCACCAGATTTATAACTGAATTTATCTCAGACAGAATAAAGCAGATTTTTTCCCCTTATATTTGAGGAACCACTCCCATAATTCCAAGTAAAAACAGCTGGAGGGCCCCAGACAGGATAGGGTACCTTCAAAAGTTCTTATTGAATAATCAAATTTTATTGCACTCTTATTCATATGAAATGGGATTCAAGCAGAATTTGCTAAACAGATCTCCATCATTATCAGATTCTTGCACTGAGCAGCAAGGGGCTCAATGACATAGCCTAAATAGCACCTTCCAAACCTATGGCTCTCTGAATCCAGATTCAGCCATATTTAAAACAGACCAACTGAAAATCGGCAGATTTTACTTAGATATGACTACAGTATCCTTAAGCTCCAGTTGTTTCAGTGGATCTACTTTTAGAAGAATGAAAACTGAACCTAACCCAATGCTTCCACATTTTGAGGTTTTATCATAATCACCCAAAGAAAGATGACCATGACACACCATGACACACACACACACACACACACACCCCTCCTAAGAAAGGAAACTTCTAGGATTGTGGGAAACAGAGAAGTCTCAGCATATTTGAAAAGTTCAAAAGATGTTATGGAAAATTTCAGCTGTTTTACTGATGCTCCAGATACTGTACTTGACACTTCCTGAGACCCACTACTGTGTTGCCATTTGTTATACTTGCAGTAATCTCTTTCCATTTGGACTTGCAACCCCACCCTTTTCAGTGTGATGTGATTATTCAAATGGAACACAGTTTATTTTGAGTCACTTTTTGTATGAGACCTATTCATAAAACCCATTCTTAATAATTGCCTACACCACTTCTGAATTTGATAAAACCAACCTTCTACATGCCTATTCAGAGCTAAATCCTATTCACAGTGGACTAACCCCTAGATAACTATACACAGAACCGCTGCCTAGGAAGGTCAAGATGAATCACGTTTGCAGTGCAGAGAGAATGTGGACACTTGCCACTCTAATATCATTATGCGTGAGACTTGAAATAATAAATAGTGCCTTTGCTGGCATATATTTATATTTCACAAGACTGCTGCCAGCTCCAGTCTTCCTTGGCATTCCAGCTTCATATCACTTGCAATTCTTATTTACTTTCCTACAGAAATGCTTTCTCTGCAGTACCTGAAAATGAATTCAGTGCATGCCTATTTGCCTGAAAATTGATCCCTTTGTTTTATTTGTCTGTAATACACTGCAATATTCAGCTTTGCACAATTTAACATATAGCTTGGACATCTCACACACATTATATTTAAATGCTTTTAGGTGAGAGGTAGGCTTTATCCATGCCTTGCTTATATCATGGCTTGACTGCTGCAATTCACTTAACCTGGGATTGCCCAGAAAAGTGTCCAGAAATTACAGTTGACGCAAAACATGACAGCTAAACTGCTAACTAGTACAAACTACAGGGATCATATGATACTTGCACTAAAAGGTCTTTACTGGTTGCCATTTGCCTACTTGGCATAATTTAAGGTGTTGCTGCTGACAGCTTAAGGCCTAACCAAAGTATCAGCCTTATCTGACCCACCTTTTTGAAGATTCTCCATGCTACTGGAAGCTCGCCT